TGTTCAGAGTTTTTATCATAAATGGCTGTTGGATCATTTCAAATGCCTTCTCTGCATCTATTGAGATGATCATGTGGTTTTTATTCCTCAGTTTGTTGATGTGGTGTATCACATTGACTGATCTGCGGATGTTGAACCATCCCTGTGTCCCTGGTATGAATCCCACTTGATCATGATGTATGATCCTTTTGATGAATTGCTGAATTCAGGTTGCCAAAATTTTGTTCAGACTTTTTGCATCTATGTTCATCAGCGATATCGGTCGGTAGTTCTCCTTTTTCGTGCTGTCCTTTTCAGGCTTTGCTATCAGCATGATGTTGGCCTTGTAGAATGTGTTAGGAAGTGCTGCATGCTCCCTAATTTTTTGGACTAGCTTGAAAAGGATAGGTATTAAATCCTCTGTGAAAGTTTGGTAGACTTCCCCAGGAAAGCCATCTGATCCTGGGGTTTTATTCTTTGGGATGATTTTGATTGCTGTTTCAATCTCTTTCCTTGTGATTGGTCTGTTCAAGTTGCCTGCTTCTTCTTGACTAAGCTTTGGGAGATTGCAGGAGTCCAAGAATTTATCCATTTCCTCTAGGTTATCCATTTCGCTGGCATATAGCTCTTCGCAGTATTCTCTTATAATCCATTGTTTGTCTGTGGAGTCTGTTGTTATTTCTCCTCTTTCATTTCTGATTTTGTTTATTTGAGCTTTCTCTCTTTTTTTCTTTGTAAGTCTGGCTAGGGGTTTGTCAATTTTATTTATCTTCTCAAAGAACCAGCTCTTTGTTTCATTGATCCTTTCTACTGCCTTTTTTGTTTCAATAGCATTTATTTCTGCTGTGATTTTTATTATTTCTCTCCTTCTGCTGACTTTGGGCTTTGTTTGTTCTTTCTCTAACTCAGCTGGGTGTAGTTTAAGATTGCTGATTTGGGATTTTTCTTGTTTGTTAAGATGTGCCTATATGGTGACGAATTTTCCTCTTAACACAGCTTTTGCTGTATCCCATATGAGCTGGTATGGCATGTTATCATTTTCATTTTCTCCAGGTATTTTTTTATTTCTTCTTTAATTTCTTCAATGATCCATGCTTATTCAATAGCATATTGTTTAGTCTCCACATCCTTGTGCCTTTCTCAGTTTTTTTCTTGTAATTAATTTCTAGCTTTATAGCATTATGATCAGAGAAGATGCTTCTTATTATTTCAATTTTTTTAAATTTGTAGAGGCTTGCCTTCTTTCCCAACATATGGTCTATCCTTGAGAATGTTCCATGCTCACTTGAGAAAAACATGTATTCTGCTGTTTTTGGATGGAGTGTTCTATATATGTCTATTAACTCCAACTGCTTTAGCTTTTCATTTAGCTCGACTGTTTCTTTGTTGAGTTTCTGTCTGGATGATCTGTCCATTGATGTGAGTGGGGTGTTCAGGTCCCCTACTATTAGTGTGTTATTTTTGATATCTTCTTTTAGGCTTGCTAATAGTTGATTTATGAACTTTGGTGCTCCTGCCTTGGGTGCATAGATATTTATAAGCATTATCTCTTCTTGATGAAGTGTCCCTTTGATCATTATATATTGGCCCTCTATGTCTCTCTTTACCTGCCTTATTTTGAAATCTGTTTTGTCTGATATAAGTATTGAGATACCTGCTTCCTTTTATTTGCTATTAGCTTGGAGTATTGTCTTCCACCCCTTCACTCTGAGCCTGTGTTTGTCCTTGGAGCTCAGATGTGTTTCCTGGAGGCAACAAATTGTTGAGTCTTGTTCTTTAATCCATTTTGCCACTCTTTTTATTGGAGAGTTCAATCCGTTTACATTGAGGTTGAGTATTGATGCATGAGGGCTTAATGCTGTCATTCTGTTGCTCGTTTTCTGGTTTTCCTGTGTTTCCTTTGTTTCTCGTCCTGTGTGTTTTAGCCTACCCAGTGACTTTTGCAATTTCTTATGCTGGGTTTCTTAGATTTTTCCTTATTTATGCTTTGTGTCTCTGTTCTGTTTTTTAGTTTAGTGGATACCCTGAAGTTTGTATTTAGACTCTCGTGTATAACATAGTCCATTTTCTGGTGGTCTCTCACTTCCTTAGCCTAGACTGTTTCAGTCCCCTTTCTCCTCCCCTCCTAAATTATTATTTTCATCTCTTATTCCAACTTGTGTTGTGAGTTTGTAGTTAGAGTGATAAGATTGTCTTTGCTTTAGTGATTTACTTCCCTTTATCCTAATGCTATCATTGAATATTTGCTATCCTATTCCGATTCTATCTGTTTGTCTCCCTACTCTGTATTTTATGACAGCTTTCTCCCTTTTTTTCTTATTTCAGGTATGAGAGCTTTCTTGAGGATTTCTTGTAGTGGAGGTCTTGTGACTATGAAATCCCTTAGCTTTTGTTTGTCTGGAAAAGATTTAATTTATCCCTCATATCTGAAGGATATTTTTGCTGGATAGAATATTCTTGGCTGAAGATTTTTATCCTTTAAAATTTTGAATATGTCACTCCAATCTCTCCTAGATTGTAAGGTTTCTGTAGAGAAATCCGCTGAAAGTCTGATACAGGTTCCTGTGTAGGTTATTTTCTTCTGCCTAGCTGCCCTGAATATTCTTTGTTATTCATTTTTGCCATTTTTACTACTATATGACTTGTAGTAGGTCTTTTTACATTGACAAACCTAGGAGATCTGAAAGCTTCCTCCCCACACATTCCTCTCTCAAGCCCTAGATTTGGGAAGTTCTCTTCTATTACTTCGTTGAGCACACTTTCTGCTCCATTTTCCTTTTCCATGCCCTCAGGAATTCTGATTATTCTTAAGTTGCATTTTCTAATTGAGTCAGCTATTTCTCGGAGATTTTCTTCAGTTTTTTTAATTATTAGTTCTCTTTCTTCCTCTGTCTGGAGCCAGTCAGCCTGTCTATCTTTGATTATGTTAATTTGCTCCTCTATGGTGTCTACATGGGCATTCAGGGAATCCGTATTTTCTTTTCTCTGATCCATTGTATTTTTCATCTCTAGTATTTCTGATTGATTCTTCTTTATGTTTTCAGTCTCTTTTGTGGAGTGACTCCAGAATTCGTTGAGTTGTTTCTCCATATTTCTCTTTACCTCATCGAGTATTTTGATGATAGCTATTTCGAACTCATCTTCACTTAGTTTACCTATTTCCAAATCCTCAGGACATACTTCTGTATTTTTACTGTTTTCCTTTTGGACTGGAGCTTTTATAAATTGCTGGATGGTAGAGGAGCGGTTGTTGCGCATGATGTTATTATTCGGTTCCAGTTACAGCCTGTCGCCACTAGATGAGGGTCTAGACCTGCACGTTCTGAGCCGTCCACCTTCAGCCCTTATGGCGGAGTGCAGCATGGGTTGGGGAAGGAGGGGCACTTTCTCCTATGCCCTGACCTGGATTCGGGTCAGCTCTCGCTCTCTGGTCTCCCAGAGCCCTGGCTTGCTGGGGTCCCCACAAGCGAAAGCTTTCCCCAATAAGAGGGTTTCCACTGCACAGGCGGTGGGAGTCGTGGATGATCCCTGGATGCGCAGACCCTCCCCGGCTACTTCCCTCACCCGTGGCAGTGATCCCGGTCTCTAGGGGAGGGAGCCAAGTTCTCTCCTACCCTGTTCCAGCTCCTTCAAGGGCGGCTCCAGCCTCTCCGCCCTCCATCATTTGGCTGCTGTGGGTCTCTGACGATTTCTGTTATTAGGATATTTTTTGTGGTTGGAAAGCAGTTGCTCTTTTTGGTTGTGACTTGGAGAGGAGAGAGTCCCAGGTGAACTCACACCACCATGTTGCTGATGTCACTCTCCTTCTCTGTTATTCTTTAAAAATGCTTCCCTTCTATATACTACCTCATAAATAGAACAAACAAAACCACATCTCCTGTTGCCTACCTACCTCATAGGATTATTGTGAAAATAAAAAAACACACTGTATATCAAAGTGCTTTGAAAACTACAGAGTACTACACAAAAATAATTTATTACTAAACATTTTCTAAAACTTTTATTTGTTTTATTAATATAACTAATACTACTGCTTTATACAGTTTCTACACTATTTACACTATACACTTATACATCAAAATTTCAGAACATTTGAAAAACCAGTCTAATTAATCTATTCTCTATCCTTGCTACATGAAGTGTGGTCCATGGAACAACAGCATTGGCATCACTTGAAATCTAGTTAGAAACACAGAATCTAAGATACCCCAGACTTAATCAAGACCTGTATTTTCACAAGGTAAGATGCCCAGGTGATCCCTATGCACAGTAAGGTTAAAAAAGTACTGCTTTACATAGCAATATTATTTACAGTCATAATTGTACAAATAGGAAATTATTTTTAGAAAAGGTATTTCAAATATATGCATCTGATTTATCTCCTAAAACTTTAAGAGAGATATTTTTCATTGAAACATGGCTACTTAAGATCAGAAGCCACGTCTTACTCATTTTCATATTTCTGCCTATTATATAACAGACAAAATTTCTTGGGTAAAGGCAAAAAAAAATTATCAATAATTTATATAGAAGATATGAATCAATTTACATTTACCCTTACATAGAATATGACAATTTAATATCAATTATTAAACATATATTAAGCATTTGCGGCATTAGCTTTAAAAAACAGAATATTTTAAATTTTATCTATATTTGAATAAGGCCACACCTAAATTTATACACAAGAATGGTCAAGTTATGTATGAAACCCAGTAAGCATCAAAGAAAGATAGATGCAGTCTTTTTGATGGAGAAGAAGAAAACAAACTTCCAACAATATAAAGGATGTCTAGTAAGCTTTGAAGTCAAACACAGTTCAAGTTCTTGCTCTGGCACTTAGATTAGATTTTCAACAAGCTGCTTAATGTATGTAGCCTCAATTTCCTCATGTGTTAAATTGGGATAATAACCTATAGAGATAAAAGAAGTAACATAAACCACCTAGTATTATAGGCATAAATCATTATTTATGGAAAACAAGAATTAATGTTCTAAAAAGTTAAAAATGTAAAACTTACCTTATCAAGTTTTAGTTCCAATTCTGCCACATCTCCTTCTACTTCTTCCAAGGCAGCTCTAGAAAAATTAAATAAAAAATAAGTTGTTTTATATGTTTAAATGTATACTTTACTCTTGAAAAATAACTCTAAGTGAAAAAATAGGTATGAATGCTTAAAAATTATACTTCACATAAAGTAATAATCACCTTAGGATGAAGTATAAATACTTTATAATTATGCAATACAACAGATAATACAACTATTCTTTAAGGTAATGAGAGAATACATTAGGTTGATTTACTCAAGCATTCATATTATTCAAATTAATAATACTAATTAAAACCACTTAGCATGTTTTAGTTTTTTTTAATGAGTAAGAAATTTTAGGGGCTGGCCCCGTGGCCGAGAGGTTAAGTTTGCGCACTCCGCTGTAGGCGGCCCAGTGTTTCGTTGGTTCGAATCCTGGGCGCGGACATGGCACTGCTCATCAAACCACACTGAGGCAGCATCCCACATGCCACAACTAGAAGGACCCACAAGAATATACAACTATGTACCGGGGGGCTTTGGGGAGAAAAAGGAAAAAAATAAAATCTTTAAAAAAAAAAAAAAAAAAGAAATTTTAAAAGTTGAGCCATACAGAGGCTGACCCCGTGGCGGAGTGGTTAAGTCCGTATGCTCTGTCCACTTCAGCGGCTCAGGGTTTCACCACTTTGGATCCTGGGCGCCGACATGGCACCACTCATCAGGCCATGCTGAGGCGGTGTCCCACATGTCGCAACTAGAAGGACCCACAACTAAAAAATACAACTAGGTACTGGGGGAATTTAGGGAGAAAAAGCAGGGAAAAAAAAATTGAGCCATACAAAGACTCAGATTTCTTTTCAACAAATCACATGTAACCAAACAGCAAAGCACCCTTGGCAATCAAAAAGAAAGGTTTTTACTTTTAGAAATAGTTCAGAATGATGTTACTCTTGTTTAATGCACCATTTTGTTTTCAATGTATTTTTAAGAGTAGCGGATACTCTAATTTGTCAAGAGAATGATAAAACTAATATAATGTTAGCACTTGATATTACACTACGGGGCAACATTCCAAAACTGGAAATTTGGAACAAAACAGCAACAACTAAAACTTATTAAAGATAAGATTTTACACATAAGAGTACTATGTAACAAAATGCAATTCATCTACTTTTAAGCCCTCTATGCCATTTTGAGATACCTTGATAAACTTGCAACTTCCCCAAAGCTACTTCTTGAATTAACCAAAATTTGTTTCAGCTGGACAATACTGGGGGACTAGCCACCCAAAAAGTTATTTTGAACTCTGGGTAAGAAATTCTCAACAGAACTAAGAAGAGAAATATAGCTAAGATATACTCTATTCCCAGAACTACCCACTTAACCCGTGTGATTGCAGAATAATCATTTTTATTAGTTTGTGATTCTACTTCCCCGTCTGGTATTTTATTGAAAACATAGTGGGTTTTTTTTAAAGATTTTACTTTTTTCTTTTTTCTCTCCAAAGCCCCCCGGTACATAGTTGTATATTCTCCATTGTGGGTCCCTCTAGTTGTGGCATGTGGGACGCTGCCTGAGGACGGCCCGATGAGCAGTGCCATGTCTGCGCCCAGGATCTGAACCAACGAAACACTGGGCCGCCTGCAGCGGAGCGTGCAAACCCAACCACTCGGCCATGCGGCCAGCCCCTTGAAAACATAGTTTTTAATCTCCAAAATATGAAAATTATATAACTAAAAATTATGCAGTAAAAAGATACCTATTCCATAAAATGAGATACCTTAGTATACAGTTCAAGAAAACAACAGGTGCTAGACTTCCACAGCATAGAAGTGGAAATGCTTCTCCCCTAACTAAAAGCTTGTCATTTTCTTCAGTAGTGTTTTTCAAATTACACATTGTCCCCTCAGCCTAGAAAATATTTCCCCTTCATATTAATCCTTACTCCCTTCACCTCCTATATGCTAATCTTCATTTAAAACAATTCATAAAAGAAAACAAATATATCAGTACAAGGATATCCACTGTCTATAACAGGTTGAAACCTATATGTCCAACAATTGAAACAAATGGTATATATCCATCCCATTATGTATGGCAGCAAGTTTTTAAATGAGATTGGTCCATATCTACTGACATGAAAACATGTACATAATAGACTATTCTTTATAAAATTATACACAGTGTGAGTCCAATGTTGTGGGGGGAAAAAACTTGTTGGTATATGCCGAGGAAAAGATCTGGGAGCATATTTACCATTAACTCTAAGTTTGAACAACAGGGATTGGAGAGCAGAAAGCATAAATAGGGATTTACACTTTTTATTACTTATACTTCTGGATTGTTTTAATATTTGCAATAACTATGTATCTTTAAATAATTTTTAAAGCTAATAAAGAGGGAAGAGAAATAAGTTCAGACATCCCTTCCTAGGAGGTGGGTCCTCTTGAAACCTCTTCCCCCACCCACTCAGGCTGGATTACATACCCCTTTGGTGCCCCCACATCACCTTATTCACATCTCTATCTCTCTTCACTTCTGTCACTAGTCTGCTCCCCATAGACACTCAAAATGTTTGTTGAATCAAGAATTTCCACAGTTATTTACTTTGTCAGAAACTCTAATTTATATTTTTAACCTTTATTTTAGCTTCACTCAATTATATTTCTTTGAAGCAAATTAGCTGAAATGGCCGGCTTTAAGGTTTGATTTAATCAGTAGTTTCTACTAAACAGACAGGTTGATAGAAACATCATGTAAATTCCTCAATCTTATTTCACTCCCCAATTCCACTAATTCACTTTTGTGGAACACTTTTAAAGAGAGGTAAGAGTTTATGTACAAAAACAGTGGTAAAATGTATTTCACCAGTCATTTAAAAATAAAGCCCTTTGTAGTCATATATTCAAATAATCTGAAAGTTTATCTTGGAGGTTCTTCAATTTAACTTTCACCTTCTCTAAAAAATATCTCTGTCCTTGGTCATCTAAGATGTGTGTGAAAACTTGTAGCACTAGGTAAACAGTTAGTGTCTAAGGCAGCCTGGTTAATTGCTCAATATTCTTTAGTATAAAAAGAAAAGTATATGGAAAGTTCATGGTCTCAGTTCAAATTCTACTCCACCACTAAGCCTAAGATATTTTATCTAAGTTTTTTCATCTGTAAAATGAGTAAAGAAATACCTATTTAAAAAAGTTGTAAAGGTTAAATAGGGGACTGTCCATATCACTGACCATAGTACATACTATGACACAAAGAATACAATCAATAAGAGCTTCTTTCTCTCTCTTTTTTTTGTGAGGAAAACTGGCCCTGAGCTAACATCTGTTGCCAATCTTCCTCTTTTTGGTTAAGGAAGATGTGCCCTGAGCTAACATTTGTGCCAATCTTCCTCTATTTTGTATATGGAACACCACCACAGTGTGGCTTGATGAGCAGTGTGTAGGTGCCCACCTCGGTTCTGAAAAGATGAAGCCCAGACAGCTGAAGCAGAGCACGCAAACTTAACCTTTACACCACCAGGTAGGCCCCTCTCCTTTTACTTAGCCCTGCACTCTAAGGTGAGTTTTGCCTCCCTATTACTTCTATTCATTAATACAAGAGAACCATTCTGGAACATATGTTTAATAAATGAATGAATAAGTGAAATAAAACAATCTACACAAAAGTCCTTCAAATATTGGAAGACAGATATTATTCCTTTCAAACTCTCCCAAATATGTAGTATTGAGCATATAACTTTTAAAAATGTGCAAGGTGTTGGAGGCTAGCCTGGTGGCATAGCGGTTAAGATTGACTCAGGGTCAATCTTCCTCATCTTCCTCAGCAAAAAGATGAGGACTGGCAGCAATGTCAGTCAGGGCTAATCTTCCTCAAAAAAAAAAAATGTGCGAAGTGTTAAACAGGCCAATATTATAGACCCTACACTCCACAGCTTAAGATTTAATAAAACATTATTAAAACGTTTAAAATTATTAAAGTTACATACACATTAACAATGAAATAAAACATATGACTAAGTAGCAAAATAAGCAAAACATAAAATGATGTTAGAAGAAACAGGAAATAACAGAAGGCAGTCAGCAAAGTCTCACAGGATTAGTATAAGCAGACATCAGCAAACTACAGCCTGTCCGGTAAGTCTGGTCCATAACCTGTTTTTGTATAGCTCATGAGCTAAAAATGGTTTTTACATTTTTAAATAGTTGAAAAAATCAAAACAAGCATAATATTTAATGACATATAGAAATTATACTAAGTTCAGATTTCAGTGCCCATAAATAAAGTTTTGTGGAAACACAGGCAAGCTCATTCATTTACATATTGTCTACGGCAGCTTTCATGCTATAATGGCAGTGTTGAGTAGTTGGAAAAGAGAACATATGGCCCATAAAGCTTAAAATATTTACTACTATCTGGCCCTTTACAGAAAAAGTTTGTTGACTCCTTATTATGAATATCAAATACAAGAACATGAACGAAAATCCTTCCTCATATATGAAATACATAAAATAATTTTTAGGACTTAGCTCTGGTTGGCTGTACCCTAAGAAGCTGAACAAGCCCAGAATTCAGAGAAAAAGGTCACTTTATTTTTAATAATAACACTTTCATTCTTTTATCTATTCATGCATCACAGTGTTTTATGATCAACTCAGAAAACAGTTAATTAAAAACATAAAACTAGAATAGGAAAAAATCTAACAGCAAATATTAACAGTGAGATAGCTCTAATCACATGGTGATTGCTTTTGGCTGTGAAGTAGATGACGCTCTGAGAAGTACCAAAATAGAACTCTCCCCACCCAGATAATTACATACCCTTGATGCAGCAATAAACTTTTTAAATCACTATTTTTACCAGATTATCCATAAAAATAACTAGTATGTGTAATGAGCGTTACATTTTCTTTATAAAAGAAAATTTTTTGAAAGAAACAGTAAGTGTGATAAGGAATTATTCTATCCATTCATTTGAGATCCTAAAAAAAAAACTACTTTCATTTTAACCTTGGCAATATCCTTAAATCAGAATAATCTAATACTAGG